GGGGGGGGGGGGTGTGAAGACATGTTGAGTTTAGGGTATTCGCCAAGTCTGAGGGCTGTTGAAGATTGCAGGTCGTTGTGCGACGTCGTTTTGGCTGTAACCGGTGACGCTATAAGGTTTCCGGCGCTTTGAAGTTTCAGTGCTTCGATGGTGGTGAGGGGGTGGGATCAGGTGCTCTGATTGCGACCATGAAGCGCCGAGCCTTTGCTTGCGATGGCAACGGCTTTCATGTCCGCGAGCCCCGAGAGTCTCAAGCGCCGAGCCCTTGCACCCTCAACAGGCTCAGTTTCCACAAGCACTGAAATCTCGGATTCTATACAGACCTGCCAAGACTCACCCCCAACAAACACTTCTCGACATCCGAGTCTCCTTCTTCAGCGATGCCTCGGGGCATGAAATCTTACGCTTCCATATAGGTTCCTTCCTCATGGGGTGATGGTACCGCAAAACCCGAGGTGCGTAGTGTCGAAGTGCCCAAGAACCTTTGCTTGAGTCCAGCTGAAAGCCTTGAGCCCGGAACCCAGAGATGGCGGAAGTGTCACAGACTGTGCAGGAAATCCAGAATCGAAGTGGCATGGAAGCGACGCTCTCGAGGCTCTGAATCGTTCAGGGGCCTTTTCAGCAGTTACCTGTTTTGAGGCTATGTATGTTCACTTCTACGCTTCGTTCCAGTGGTGTTTCTTTACACGTACAGGCAAGCGCACCTGCTTTGGAATCACATTTCGTGGTGCCCTGTCTCTCCACTCAACCTTGAGTTTGATGGAATATCTCCTCGCTGTGGACAATCACTACGCCACTGCGCATGCCTGGCGTGCGGAGGTATTGGTGCTTGCAGGTTTCGTAGAACTTTCGGGAGATCCGTCGTGAACCCCAGGCCTTCAGACGTCCGAGGCACAGGCGCGCAACCCAAAAGCCCGCACTCCAACACTCCCAAAAGGTACGTTCAGCAGCACGCTGTGCACGCATCACAAGAAGATACTTCAACTCCTACACTTTGAGCCATGAACTTCAACCGCAGGTGGCTCACAGACATCCCCACTGAGCCCCACGAAATCGACGAGGCTGTCGACATGGTCCAGCCTCTTGCCGGAAGGGACTCTGGGGTTCGGATCTCCATGCATGCTGTTGAATGTGCCAGCTGCGACGTCGACGGGAGGTTTTGCATGTTAAGTTATGTCGGGTCGTTCGGGGGCCGCTGAGACGTTTTCATTTGTGCATGTTTAGCTTGAGGCACATCTATCAGCTTTCTGCAGAAGTTGTTCTTTGGGCGGATTCCCAAGGGCTTGCGTCGAGTTGAAGACTTCAGAGTTGAAGCCTTAGGGGGTCGGGGCAGGAGGTGACTGTAAAATAGATCAGCTCTGCCGCTGGTCTGCAAGACTATGTAAGCTGCAGTGTAGATGTGGTTCTAGTATATCCCGGAAACAGCTGATGGCTGGTAACCTCGCTGAGACCCCTGCTGCCGTGGGTGGACGGTGCACTTCTTGTTTCAAGCCGGAAGCCTACACCCTAAGTCCTAAATCCAACATAGGGATGATCAGGATGCTGGTCCTGAAGACGTACAGCTTCATCCGCTCCCAGGCCAACTCCTGTTGCACAGGGGTAGGTCGACGCTCCCACACTCTACGCTCTAGAAAGCAAGATCGTCCCCTTGCCCCCGACTGCGAATTCCAAACGAAAGCCCCGGACTTACTTGAACGGCAGTATAAATCGGTGTTATCCGGTTGGGAAAATTACAAGACCTCTCGTAAAGCCCATCCACCGGTCAGGGTCTGGACTAGGCGTTGATAAGCTTCGAACAAATAATCAGCGCGGTGCCCAAACGGCTTACATGGGGTATGCCGCTGACTGTTGCTCCGCGCGCACAAGTTGTAGAAGGAGGTTCAAGACTGTAGAGACTTTCCGTTAACATCAACATGGCACGCAATCCGGAATATGCTGTTTGTGGCCTCGCGCTGCTCTGCAGAATTTGCAAAGCTGCTGTCTTGCAATCCAACCAGTAATCAAAGATACGGAGAGCAAATCAAAGAGATGCAGTCTCAGCGGTAGAACAAGGAAGTGGCAGCGGCAAAGTGCAAGCCAGGCTGAGTGCAGCCAACACTACACAAGACAGGGGAGCTGTTCGAGAAAGAAACTTCTCGTATGTACGAAAAGCAGAGTCATCGTAAGAAGGATGAAACATGAACGCAATGTACAAAAGTATTGACAATGTGGCATGACGTGTTAAAGGCTGTGGCACCAGGTCATTGGCTATTGTGCAGACGCATCTAGAACCATTGTATCAGCCTCGATAAAACTGCACAAGCTGCCAAAAGATGTGAACCAGAGCAAACATCGTGAATTTACCTTGTAGATGTAATGCATTGACGACAAACTCCTCACCCACGCGTTTGACAACCTGATCTCTGAACTCGCCAGAATCAACCTGGACCGTTGCGCAAGCTTGTCTTAGAGGATGAAGCCTGCATGAATAGGATGAGTGCATGCACCAGGACCCCGCACAAAAGGGTTAAACAATGGTCAATGGTGATGCAAATCTTCCAGGAACAACTTGAGCATGCAGCGAGCGTCCACAGGACTGTAGCTTGTCCAGACGCTCCCGCGCATCGCCATTTACTCCATGTCTGTTCAACTTAGTTTTCCGAGTTTTCCGACGTGCAAGCTTGCCCGCAGGAGTTATTTCAGTTTGGCGAAGCCAGCAGTTCTGGGGCACGGATCAAAGTTGTTCTGCAATGTGCTAGCCCGTGGCATTACGTTTACAGAGTTTCTGTAAGATTTTTGGGAGAGGCGCCCAGACGTTGTGACTTGTGTGGTGTTTTGAGTTCAAAGTAGACATTGTCTTTGGTTTGCGAAACAGTGTGAGCGGAGGTAATCAATGTCGGGTAGATTTGCAACTAGCTGTAATGGCAGGGGAGTCTCACCCGGGAAAGCTTATGTTCTGGGGTTTCTCGAGCATGACATGAGACCCTCACCTGGAGCACTCAGAATCCCTGAAGGTCTGTGACCAAGTGGAGCTCTTCTCAGAGTCTTTTTTCAAGCTGCCGA